CACGACGGTATTGGGACATTTATTCACCGGTATATCGTTACATCCCTAGTATCAATGTTTCAGAGAAAGTGGATCATGTCATCAAGTCATCCTTTCAAACCCGATGCTCAGGAATGATATAATGTGTTTGTGTTTCTTGCTAACAGTCACATTCTGATTTACTGCTATCCATAATAAAACATTATGGGGAGAAAAAACAAATAATCGAAAGGAACACTTTCCTATTCATGAAAACCATTGTTTATGATTTGGTTTATTGTTTATGCTACAATTAGACCCTCCAGAAAAACATGGGCTAAAATCCTTGATTATGCGATTAAACATGCAGGGTTTTTATGTGATTGTATGCGGTGAAATTGCGGGAAGTTGCGAAATATGTGTAAAGTTGCGAAATATGCTAAATATTTTTTTTTAAATATTGGGTTGTCTTATGTATTCTCTCTCACACACAACCTGCCACTAACATTAAACCCCTTTACTATTCAATTAAACACATCCAATGTTTATTTATTGTAAAAGCAATTGGGCTATTTTAATCACACTCACTCTCACACACACACACACACACACACACACACACACACACACACACACACACACACACACTTATCCGCCTCATTCTGTTTTCATTTACTTGTTCGTTATCTGACCAGCTTCAATCTTGTAGGCTACTCACCTCGTTCCTCGAAAGGGGTTTGGAGGTTGATGCCTCGGTGAACGTGAGTTGTTTGGCTTTCTTGTCCGCAGCAGCAGAAAGCATTTTCGAATGTTTGAATGAATAAAAGTGGGTCGTCACCGTCGATGTTCTCTTATGCTCCAACACACAGTTGAACGGGGTGCAGAATAGTTTCCCCCCACTTTCGTGCAAGACATCGGGGTACTGCTTTGCCCGGTCTTTAGCAGAAATGTTCGTCGGTAAATGAGATGGATTAGATTTTTTCATCTTGGTGTTTTCTCTCTCGTGTGAGTTCCACACGTTCACTCTACGATGTTGTTTACCTTCTGTGGTGCGCGAGCTGATGACGTTGCGTCATCATCATCATCACAACTTCACGTCAAGACGAGTTAACTTTCTTTTTTTTTAAACTTTGTGTGGAAAAATGCGGGGATTATGCGGCCTTTTGATAAATATGCGGCCTTTTAAAAATCTGCGCCATTTTGCTGATTGTGCGGTAAATTCTGCGATCACAGAATCGCGTTTTTCTGGAGGGTCTATAATGAACACATTTCTACCTAGATTGTAAATCAGAAAAAACAACTAACTTTTATTATTCAAGAAAGAAAAACAATTGAAACTACGGTACACAGATGTTCCCTAAATATGTGTATATTTTATTCTTGGATCTGTTGCAATTAATGTATGATTATATTTAAATGTGTTCTAAGTTCACTTAGTCTTTGAAAGGTTGTGTTGCTATTATAGTAAAATGATGTCAGAGCCTTAAACGGTCTTAAAATAACATCATTTCGTACTACTTTTGGGTAACTTATCATTCAACAAAAAATAGTGAACAATGAACACACGAGAGACAATGTTGATATTGTTGGCTGACGCGGATAAGATGTTGTGAGATTGTGAAGTGACAATAGATTGTTCTTCTTTGCCCTTTTTAGATACATTTCAGGCTCTGCGTGACATTTATGATATCAGAGTCATGTGTCCAGTGTTTTAAACGACCTACAAACTATAAAGGGCCCGGAGGCTCAATGTGTGTTTTGAAGCACTTTTCTCTACCTCCAAACCCTGTAAAACCTGTCCGCTGTGTGTTTACAGCTCCACCTCTGCGAGTAGATTCCCCTGAAGCCTTCACTGTTGTCGGATCACAGAACTAACTTACAGATGTAGCGCTTCATTTCAGACAGTTTGAAACGCGAGGGCCGTGATTGGTACGTGATCTGCCCTCGCTCAAGGGAAAACCTCCAGCTTGACTTGAGAGAGACCTCCCCCGTGATAAATACATGTAATTATTATGAAGCCAGCTGCAATGGATCATTGATCCACCAGGGGGTGCAGTGTAGGGGTGGGCGATACCACAAAATCTGGATTCGATCCGATACCAAGTATTTCAGGGGCCAGTATCGCCGATACCGATACTTTTTTTTTAATGAAAAGCGTCTTATGTACTTTCATATAGGGGAGAGCTGCATGACATGATTTTTGAACTGAAATCATCATAAATAGACTAAATCTGAATTCATTTTCATGAATAAAGACAGGACAGTTTTTATAGACAAATACACGTTTTACTTTTGCAAATTTAAAGTGCAAACATGAAAAATAACAATACAAAGTGGCCAAAGTAGCGAACTGTCTTCTTGCACACATCACAGTTCGCTAAGTTTTAATGGCCAGTTGTGAAATTGCTCCACACAACGCTGCTCTTTCTCTCAGCCATCATGCGCGTGTTTGTGTTGCACTCGCGAGTCGCTGGCTGCTGCTGTCCTGCCCTGCTGGCTGCTGTCAGTCAGCTTGATAATCGGCGTTCAGGCAGGGAGCCTCGAGGAGAAGAGGACAGCAGTGGAGAGAGAAGAAAAGAGCATAGGCCTATACTTGTGTTCGTCTGCACATAGTTTTTTGAAGAAATTGACGAGTAGAGGAGACGAGAAAAAAAGTATAACAGTATCGATCCTATTGGCTCTAGTATCGATATTTTGAAACGTAACGTAATATCGGAGGTATCGATATTTTGGGATCGATCCGCCCACCCCTGCAGTGGGGTTCCACACTGGAGCTCATGTGAAATAAAGTCGAGTAACAGTACGCTGGATGTACAGCGGAACTTTTTTAAGATCCATATGTCATGGATATCATACTCTGTGCTAAATAAGAGACATGTAATAATTTACAAAACATCACCATGTTCTTATTTAACAAAATAATGTTGTTTAGTCGAAACGACGAACGGGAGGAAATGCAGCCCGGCTCTCCATTTTTAATCCTAATTTAATCATCATCTTCACCACGATCATTTATGTTTATGTTCGCCGAATTGACATGAAATCACTGACACATATGAATATACTGTATTCAACTTCATTAAAACGTTATTAACGTGCCTAAACTCAGTAATTCACTAAAAATATTTATATTTTAATGGAGCCTCGTCGGCAGATCAGGATCCCAACGCGTAGCGGAGGGATCTTGAGCTGCATGAAGGGTGTTATTTTCCCCATAAGGAACAAGTCACTTCAAATTGTCCCGCTTATTACATGGCCACATTCTCAACAAAATAACGACATGACTCCCAATATTAATTGAAATGCTTTTATGGATTTAGAAAATGTTTTTATTGATTTAAAAAATAGTTGTATGTATTGATTTAAATTGACATGCATCCGCTAAGAAAAATAGTCCGTTGTTACCGTTTTTTAAACAGTCTGAATGAAACGGCAGCTCTCAGCTGTGTATTTACACAACTAATGGCCCATCAACCACAGCTCTCTCCCCCCCTCCCCGTTCTTCTCCAGCAGCTAAATTAACTGTAGGTTACTCTGAGTGACAAGTTTACAGTTAGACACAACACCGTCATTGCAAGTGACCCTCAGTTAGTTGACTTTTATGTTCAACTGCTAAACTCGTTACTGATAAAAAAGGGCTTCTACTGTACCTAATTACCTTAACACTAGAACCGCCAGAGGTTATTGTATAGGCCTACCTAAAACCGTCAAATCCCGCTATTAGAATGCAATTTTTAACAACATAGGGTGTGTGCGTAAATTGAAGTAACTTGAAAGCTTGAAGTGAAAAATGTATACAGCGTATTTTTGGTATATTCATTTTAATGACACTTGATATATAAGAGGTGTGTTGCATCATGTTATCACTAATATATGTGTGGTTTTATACATTCCTGTGTGTTAATAGTTGAAGGAACAAAGTACATTTTTCCTCTTAAATATATAGAGGTTTTTTATATTCAACAAATGTTCCCTTTTTCTTAAAAAGTAGATTAGCGCAATAGTCTTTTTCTTCCACTTTTACATATAATCAAAAGGGTGTTTTTTTGGCTATTTGTGAGTGAAAAGATTACCCGTTAAGTGTTTTTCAGAAAGTCTGTGCAAATAACAAGGGGATTTCCCCCAGATATAAGACTATTGGAGCAGCTATGTGAAGACTGCTCAAACAATACCTGTGTTTGTGTTTTATATTGATTTCTCTGTTTTATTCTTTCATAAATGTGAGGACTAAAATTGCTATGAACATTGTGGGGTGGTTGGCGTAAACAGGTTTGTATTACTCTGTGGGGGAGGTGTAGTTATGCAGGACAGGGGGCTAGGTGGATGAGAGTACCTTCTTGTTAAGATCTCCAACATGTCAGTGAAGTCTACATACTTTGAATAGTAGATGTGTGTGTTTAATTACTTTGTATTCATAATACTGTCTGTGTAACCAGAAGCTGGAAATATGAGATTATTATATTATTATAATATTATTATTATATAAATATGAGATTATTAATATGTATTATCTTTGTGAAGCAAGGGAATATTCTTTAGACACAACTCAAGTCTCTGGAAAGTTGCAGGATGGGGGTGGGGGAAAGCTATGCAAGAATGTGTGATAACGGACACCAGATGTATTTTGCCACAACCTCCGAGACACTTGCAAAAACAGGGCTGGAAAGAGCAAATAGAGCGAAATGAGGCATGGCTAAAATGCAGGATCTGTTTGGTATTTTGAAAAAAATATATATATTTATATACTTTATATGGCTAGGGTTGGGTATCGTTTGAATTTCCACGATTCCGATTCTAGTTTTCGATTCCGATTCTTAACAGTTCTCAATTCCGATTCTTTGAGGGGCAAGGTACCATTTTTTTTACATGCTTCTTCCACCAAAAAAACAACATTTATTTGAGAAACTTTTACATAGGTTAGTTTACAGTAATATTCACATGAATCAGTCTGTTTATATTCACTGCTATGTAACTGTAACCTGAGAACCACTGAAGCTACAACACAGCAACAGTCCAACTTTTAAAGGAAACCCCCCCCCCCATTTAAAAACAGTTCTTGTTGAGGAAAACAAGCATATCTGCCTTCTCAGGCAGTATGCGTGAGCGTTCAGCACAGATTGTGTCACCAGCAGTCGAGAAAACACGTTCACTGGGTGTAGAGGAAGCCTGGACACATAAATATGAGAAGGCCATGTCTGACAGGCAAGGATAGGTTGTTCTCATGTTCCACCACCAGGCCGCAGCGTCATCAGAAGTAACTATGCGTGGTATAGCCTTGTACATGTGCAGCTCCTTCTCTACCTGGTCCTGGATGGACATGGAATTCTGCTGTGGTGTCACCTTTTGGGCATCCTCATCAGCAAACAGCTCCTCCAATGGGGTCATTTTGGGGGTTTTGCAGGGATGCATTTGCTAAATGAATAAATAACAGCATATCACACAAAAGGAAACTTCCATTCAAAGCATAGATCATGATTAAGAAACCTTGCATATATATATTTTTTGCAAACATACACTTACATTCTCCTCTGCCTCACTCTCCATTCCTTCCATGTTCTCGTCACCATCTCCTCCACAGTCTAGATCTGTTGACTACAGATAACAATTGGCATTATGATCAAAGATTTTAATGATTGAGGAGACATTATTTGTTCATGAATAACATTTCACCTTCTCAGAGTCGGTCAGATTTTTGGCCAGGAACTTCCCCTTGATCCGGTCCCAGACAACAGCATTATCGTCCATCTTTTGTTTGAAGCGTGGGTCCAAAGCAGTAGCCTCTTCCAGAAAGCTCCTGATTTCATCACTCTGAACACAATTATTGAAAATGTAGGATTAAGTCATGAATATAATTATTTAATGTATTCTTCATTAACTTCTTTATAGCCTCAGTTATTTTACCTGGTAACGCTTTGACAGATTTCCCCAAACTTGCTTTTTAAGGTAGGACACAAATACTGTGTCCCCATCAGTAACAGTAAAATGCATCTCAAGCTTTTTGAGAATGGGCAGAATCTGTCCAGATGTCGGGTTCTTTTCCGAAGAAACGCAGAGGGTGGACGTGTACATAACCCTCATCAGTCTGATGAAGTCCTCTGCCCGCCTGAGGTCTTCGTCAGTGAACCGGGCAAGTCTGAGTGATAAAGAATATTTGTATTATTAACTATAAGTTAAAAATATTACATTTTAAACAAAAACAATGCTGTTTGACAAGGGAACTGCTCCTCTTTAAATCCATCACTTATCCACACTAATCAGTATAGTTTACATTGCTAGCTACTTTTTAAGTCATCTACATTTGCATTACCACATGCTTATAGTGACAGCTCTCTGCACTAGTTCTGGTGGCTAGACAATCACTTCCCTGATAATGAAGTATTAGTGTTTTGTATGAGTCATGAGCAGGGGGACACTGCAGGATTTGAGTCTCTGGCGGCGTAGTGTGTTTCTGATGGTAGCCTTTGTTACTTTGGTCCCAGCTCTCTGCAAGTCATTGACTAGGTCCCCCCGTGTGGTTCTTGGATTTTTGCTCACCGTTCTTGTGATCATTTTGACCCCACGGGGTGAGATCTTGCGTGGAGCCCCAGATCGAGGGAGATTATCAGTGGTCTTGTATGTCTTCCATTTTCTAATAATTGCTCCCACAGTTCATTTCTTCACACCAAGCTGCTTACCTATTGCAGATTCAGACTTCCCAGCCTGGTGCAAGTCTACAATTTTGTTTCTGGTGTCCTTTGACAGCTCTTTGGTCTTGGCCATAGTGGAGTTTGGAGTGTGACTGTTTGAGGTTGTGGACAGGTGTCTGTTATACTGATAACGAGTTCAAACAAGTGCCATTAATACAGTTAATGAGTGGAGGACAGAGGAGGCTCTTAAAGAAGTTACAGGTCTGTGAGAGCCAGAAATGTTGTTTGTTTGTAGGTGACCAAATACTTATTTTACCGAGGAATTTACCAATTAATTCATTAAAGATCCTACAATGTGATTTCCTGGATTATTTCCCCCCCATTCTGTCTCTCATAGTTGAAGTGTACCTAGGATGAAAATTACAGGCCTCTCATCTTTTTAAGTGGGAGAACTTGCACAATTGGTGGCTGACTAAATACTTTTTTGCCCCACTGTATGTATTTAGTTATTTAATTGTTATTTATTTCATCGGGACAATGTACAGCTTTTTAGCTGCACCAGAGTTAGCTATAAGTTATTTTACTTGTACACATTTTTACTAACATATTAGCATTTTAGACCAACCTAAGTCCCTATGTACACATACGTACATCATGTTTAACGGCATTCCAAATTGCATGTCATGACAAACGTACAATGCTTTGATAAATATCTAAATCAGAAAAAGCCTTGAAATATGATAGGACTTCTTACCTTGTCGAGGTTTGTATTTGGAGCTGCCATTTGAATTATCCCTTGTGTTTGCCGCCATTTTGAATTTGTACCGTAGTGTGTTGTACTCTTCTGACACCACCAGATGGCAGTGTAAGTGCCCACATACGTGGCCATGAAGCCCCAGTTCAGCAGAATTAACGACTGTGGTCATATGACCACAAATGTGATGTGTACGCCAGGCCCTAGGAGGTAAAGTTGAATTCCATCGTGTGGAATTTGCTGATGGAATTGTGGCATCCCCAAAGCAGGACTCAAAGCGGTCTTTAAATTAGGTGCTACTATGGAGGAGGCTGGCTGTGCGGGATAGCTTGGCTAGTGTACCTGACAGCCTACTTCTTTCAGACCATCTTTTATCACCAACTGCAGTATATGCGTGAAGCATGACAGTCTCTCCATCTTGCAGTTCTGATCCAGAGCAGCAGTAACTGCCTGTTGATCCTCTGTCGTCAGGTCTTGCCATATTTCCCCTTCCTCCTCCTCCTCTAATGTGCCTGGATCATTAGTCTCTTCCTCACACAGCACTGTAGCCTCCTCTGGTGGAAAGCTGGCCTGGAATGCTTTTCGCATGTTGGATGCATTGTCAGTTATAATAAAGTTGATCTTGTCCTTAATAAGACACTGTAATGGTCACAGAGGAGATGGTTGATCTTGCTATTGGCCTGTATTGAGGGTCTAATGGTGCATTTCCACTACACGGCCTCGCTCTTTATGGCTAGGCCTCGTTAGGACTGGCTCACTTTATGGCGCATTTCCATTACAGTTTAGGAACTGGGGTAGTATCTATAGTAACGCAGTGTAGGCGGAGCCGTGAAGTAATCTTCAATGAGAGCCCCAGGAAAACAACACAGCCGTTGGCTGTTAGAGCTCACAGCTCCTCATATCTGTTCAGAAACTAGACAAAAGTTAAACAAGTACAAACCACAGACTGGCTGTGTCATGGCGAATACAGTCGCTGGTTTATTTATGTCTGTATAGGCCGTTGTTGTGAGTGTGGACGGTCGGAGCATATACAACGTTAGCTTAGCCAATCTCCATTAGAAAACACGCATTTTAAAAAGGTTTTTCGCCTGCCGTCTGTCTGCAGACTTGTCAAAGCATTAATTCATGGTTTTTTACTAACCGGTATCAGTATGTTGTTACTTTGGCATCATTTTGAAACGTGTATTACATTTAAATCATGGTCAAATATGTTCATCTTGTTGTAGTTGTAGCCCCCTTGTCAGCGATTCTCTCTCTAGTTTAGCATACTCAGCCCGACTCAGCCTGGTTGTTCCTGGCCCTAGAACCACGATTTTATGGGGCCAGAAAAACTGTGAATTAGGACCCGCTAGCCGGTACTAGGCCAAGTGGAAACACAACCAAAAACGGGCCCCGCATGGCTCGGCACGCTTAAAGCGAGCTCCGCGCTGCAGTGGAAACGTGCCATAAGACATGGAGGAAGTGCCTGAAGTCCTCGTTGTCAACAATGGAGAGAGGCAAACCAACAATGACAGACAGAAAAAACAGAACTTAAATACACACAAGACTAATCAACGAAACAAGAGACAGGTGAGGAGGGAGGAGAAAACACAAGGGGAACAAGGTGAACACAATCGGGTAATCAGACAGAAGGGAACACAGACAGAAAGCCACAGGCAAGACAGGGGGTGAACACTTATCAAAATAAAACAGGAAACCAAAGACAGAAAAAGACAAGACAAAACAAAACACAGACAGATCGTGACAAAAACGTCTCCAAATGTTAGTCAACGAGAAATGTATTTTTGGGCCCAATGGCATCAAGGCCATTCTGGCTTTAGCGATATAATCCAGGAAGTGTGGACTCGCTGGATTTGCAGCCAAACAAGAGGCTAATTTAAGAATAGCTTGCAGTCTAACATTTGAGGCAAAGACGCCAAATCAGGTCACTGCCTATGCCTGGAATCTTTGCTCTGAACACACCCATCTTCAAACTAAGCCATCAATTGACTACACAACTGAGAAGTTCCTTCCTAAGGTATCAATTGGGGGTGGGGTCAATATATAATTGGCCACCCTTGCATGAACCATGGCCATTTTATAACTCAACGTTAATTTAAATCCTTTGGTCAGGGGTGTTAACATATGGGACAGGCAGTTAATTTTGAAACCTTTTTCTGTTGTATCATAAAAGTAGTTAATCAAAATATGTTTTTAAGAGAAGCTGATACTGGAAATAAGTTGAAACCAAACTGGGTTGTATGTTACACCTTTTTAATTGTATCCCCAAGCAGTACGAACATTTCTTTGCACCTGGAAGTCTTGAAACTTCACTTCCCACTTACGATACACAGAACCAGGTTTCATCCGATCTGCAGCATGTTCTATTTTTGTTCCTGCTTATTAATACGGGAAAAGGTCAGATTCTGAATATATGACATTTTGTCTCTTATATAATTATTTCCTTTTTCCTCTGCATCACCAAGTTGTGTTCCTGTCAGGCTGTGTTTCACAGGTTTGGATATAACTTCTATATTTTCTAATTCGGAGAGTCTTGTCTTGATTCAAGGATTCTAGGGAGGACTGTACAGATGTAGCACTCCAGATCGGACTCACATGGGTGTGTCCCAGTCAAAAGCCCAGCGGATGCCAGTGGCTGGGGGTGTTGCCAAATTGCTAGAGGGCGTTGCCCAATTTCCCCATTTGTTCAATTACAGGATTTAACCATGAGATGGCGCTTCATTCACAAAATACACAAAGACAACTGGGTGTTGTAGAACTTAGTCTGTTTGCAATGTTTGCAGACGACTCGGTACGTTATCACGCAGGGATTTACACACACACGCCTAAAGAACTATCGGTCCCTGGAGGCACACAACTTTTTTATCAAGTGGCTTTGTTGGAGTTGTGCTCCATCATAAACTACCTTCATCGGATACCTACCTGTTCCGATGTGATGTAAAGCCATCCTGGAGGGTGACAGAGAAGCCGCAAAGGCTGGCTTCCGCATCTGCCAAACTATGCCATACCTGGGGGTTTCATGTGATGGCTATGTTTCCTGTGACTGCTGTGGTGAGGGGTGTTATAGAGGCTAAGTGTCCTTACAGGTGGGGGCAAGACACCTCTACTGGGTATCAACAGTGGCTTGAGGACAAAAGAGGACATCTGGAAAGTCTGACAAGCTTAAAGAGAAGTCATGCATATTTCACTCAGGTATTTCAATATTTCACCTGCATATACCTGCACACCTCTAATAAGTCTGGAGCATTTTGTGCAATTATCCAAGATAATTATCCACAGATGGCATACTGTCTATAATGTACATATTAGTGTTATGATGATTGCATTGCATTTGATTGCATTTGACAGGTCCAAATGCAGATGTTTGTTACCAAATGGATGTATGCAGACTTCATCACTTGGACTCCTCAGACCTGCCTGATATTCAGAGTACAAAGAGATGAGGACTTCATCAGTGGTGCCATTAATGTGATGCAAACATTTTGGTCACAACACATACTACACAAACTTCGGGAGCTGAAAGATGCACAGGTAGGTGGTTGAATTTCCTATCAGTGTAAAAATGGCAACAAATAAGTCACTGTGACAGAGTTACATATTTATTTATACCAATTCATTTTGAAGCATATTATAGCTATTTCATTCAGTATCAACATAGACTACATGTACAAAATCAAATATCACAAAGCCTATGCATTTATTTACAACATGAAAACATACATAGGCTACAAATAGAATGAATAATGGGCTGTACAATATTGTCTATACTTGTGACTTTGATACTAATCAGATAATAATTGTTGATATTGTTGATCAAATTGTTCTTGTGTTATTTTCAAAGGGGGTGTACTCATTTATGATAAGCACTGTATATGTTTCTGCTAAGTAGGCAGAACACAGTCCAGTCGAAAGCAGCACAGGGAGTGACCCATCAGGCAACACAAGTGGCAGCAGAACATCAGGCAACAGAGGCAGAGTGTCAGGCAACAGAGGCAGACAGGCAACAGAGGCAGGGTGACAGGCGACAGAGGCAGAGCGTCAGGCATCAGAGGCAGAGCGTCAGGCGACAGAGGCAGAGCGTCAGGCATCAGAGGCAGAGCGTCAGGCAACAGAAGCAGAGTGTCAGGCAACAGAGGCAGGGTGACAGGGGTGTGCAGCAGCAGAGCAGCACTGAGATCAGTTCAGGGACCTGTGGAAAGACAAACAACAGGTGGTTTTGATTAGAAAGATCCATTATGTCTCAACTGGAACCTGTTAAATGGCACAATTGGAACAATAATGACTTCTTTGTTGTATAAAAAAGTTGCATAAAATATTGTTCTCTGATGCTCATTATTAAATGACTGCACATTGATTTTGTTCTTACTCTCAGATTCTGTAACGGTTGTACATGACACTGCCAGACAGGTTCATTAGTGCTGCACAGACATGCACAATCCTATCAATCATGGCCTCTTCTCTCTTCTGTCTCTCACCCTGCAGTCTCTTCACCAGGCGCAGAGGAAGTGGGCCATCCAGAATGTTGGTACCCGGCTCTTCAGGGCACCAATGACTCTCTCTGCAGACCACAGATCACATATTTGTTGTTAACATGCTGTTTATCTACATTGTTATGTTTGAGTTTCACAGGAGTAGCACAGTTGACCGTTATATCATATCGTCAGTGCATTGTGTCCTATAATTAGTGTTTATTTTTCATGCTAAAGTGAAGAAAGATCCCTGTTAACTTCCTGTTATCCTGTTCTCTTGATATTGCACTAAATGTGAACAACAGTTCAATGTATTTAAATATAGAATAACTTGTTTTTAAGATAAAATGTTATCTGAAGACACCCTACAAAGTAGGGATTACACATGTACTCGTTGATGTGATTAATTGAATAACGTCTCAGCACTTGTTAACCCGGATCTGTACTGTTACAGTAATTAATTTAGTTAGGGAAATGTGAACCACGTCAGCGGCAAGTAGCAACAGTGATTTGATGATGCAGCACACTCTGAATACCAAAAACATTAAAATGTACATACTGTATGAATCTGACTGCTGACTCTATACTTACCAATGTGAATTCTGATGTTCGAAGTCACACGAGAATTTGCAACATCTTCGGCTGACAGTTGTTTTCGGCCCCTCGTGAAAGACGGTGTGATGAGCTGTGCACCCAGAACAGCAAAGTCATCCTTCAAAGTGAAGCCCCTGTCGGCTAAAATCTGAAATAAACATAACAAATACTTAAAAACACTACTTTACTTCAACAGCAACTCAAAAATAGTAACTATGGGTAAATAATAAATTCACAAATAAGACTTAAATTAGAAACAAAAAAACAGTTCAATTGTTACCTGATCTCCTGCATGGTGGAACTTCTGAGATAAGAAGTCTGAGTTCCTTACAATATGCACATCTGAAGCCCTCCCTCCCCAGCCTTTGGAGAGATATGTGATTGAGCCAGATGGGTGACATGCAATGAAATACTTCACTGTTGTCCAGTTTTTGTATTTTGAGTAGGTGATAGCTCTGTGAGAAGAGACAGTCGTTAGTAATACTTATCTATAAATTGTGTACATATACACAGACAGCCAGGTAAGTATTACAAAAACCCGAAAAATATCTCACCTTGTTTTCAGCTTCTTTGAGTGTTCAATTCTGATCTCAAAGCAGTCGATAATTGCAGTCACTCTAGGGTACTGGAAGAGAACCTCTGCTGGTACTGTGCTTCTGATACACTCTCCATCAGGCCATTTAATCAAAAAAGAAATGTTGGCGTACATCAAATCCAACCATCGGGAGAATACATCCAGGAAAGTGCTATGTGCCAGGTCAAATATTCCACACATCATATCGGTTGAGGGGTTCTGCCGCAGTTTCACCAGAGTAATAAAGAGCTGGTCTTGTGTTGACATCTTGGATGTTTTCTGTGACTTAACAAACTGTACCAGGTACTGATGAAGAGTGTCAAATACTGTCCATGACAGGCCTGTCATGACTTACATTTAGTGTCATTTTCTCTCAGTGTTTACCGACATTTTCAACGTCTCCAATTATCTGATGGCTTCAGCTCGCTCCTTCATGGCCTCATCTCTTTCTCTTCTTAAATTATACAATTCTTCATAAAGTTGTTTTCTCTCTAACTCCTGAAGAGGTATGGGAGCTTCTGATGTTGGGGATTCTGGTGCTGGGGCCCTCTGATGTTGGGGATTCTGGTTGGGCAGACTGAACACCCTCACGCTTCCTCCTTCTCTCCAGCCTCTGAAGTACTGACCTGGGAGACTTTGTCTTTTTATGTGGGAACAGCGAGGGTGTGTAGTCTGGGTGGGCTATGTCCTCGTTTTTTAAGCCTAGGGCAAGACAGTTCACAAACGAAATGAGAAGGGGATAGAAGGGGGTGAAATACATTTTAACTGCAGAAAGCTCGGAAGCTACCACCAGTGTTGTTAGCAGTGTTGGGACTAACGCGTTACAAGTAACGCGTTACTGTAACGCCGTTATTTTCGGCAGTAACTAGTACTCTAACGCATTACTTTTTAAATTCAGTAACTCAGTTACCGTTACTACATGGTGCGTTACTCCGTTACTGCGTTAGTTTTTGTATATAGTCAACAGCCAGGCGAACAGAGATGAGAACTGTACTTAAGTACAGTACTTGAGTAAATGTACTTAGATACTTCCTGTGTCACATGCGGAGACGGGCTGTGGGCGTGTTTGTGTTGTTTACTAACAAGACTATCATGGCGGCGGCGGAGCTCAAGTCTAGTTTCTCCACCTGGAGATATTCTCACTATTTCACTTTTGTCGAGCACAAAGAAAAGAACGTTTTAGTTAAATGTAAGTTGTGTCTTGGCGGGTCAAAGAGCCTATCTACTGCCCCAAACCAGTAATTCAAATATCTTAAAAACATCTGCAAAAACAACATGCTGGGACGAAGCTAGTAGCTAAGACCACAGAGACTCAGCCGACGCCACTCCACCTCCACCTAAGCAACAGCGGCTGGATTTTAACCAAGGGACTGCTAGCCAGGGAAAAGTCGATACAGCCATTGCACAGTATGTTGTAGAACACATGCAGGCTATTGCTACGGTGGAGTCACCCGCTTTCAGGGAGCTAGTTAGCATGATAGCATGTCCGGGCGGCACACGGCATATGGGACGGAAAACTTTTTCCAACTACCTGGAGAAAGAATATACAAAAATGGAAAGCCAGCTAATATCGATGCAATCCAGATTGCATATAATGCATGTCAAGTTGATCAACAGATTGTATTATTCTCCAATGCAATAACAGTACTGAAATGAAGGCTATAAGGGCATTAATGGGAGCCCCTTTTTTCAAGTAACAAAAACGTTACTTTTCACAGTAACGCATTACTTTTGGGTGTAAGTAACTAGTAAAGTAACTGAGTTACTTTTGACATGAAGTAACTAGTAATGGTAACTAGTTACTGGGTTTTCAGTAACTAGCACAATACTGGTTGTTAGCATAGCTGTGTTTTTGTATACTCAAGCAAGGTAGCCTGCATAACGTAGTAGTTAGTTAACTTCTCTTAAAACTAGTAATTGAACATTCATGTTAACTACGAAACAAATTTAACACTGTTTATTGTGTGAATAACGTTGTCATACCTGTAATGAAGTGCTGACTACAGACGTACACATGTTTGGATTTTGGATCCCACAGGTGGCCTAACTCATCCTCCCGACGGATCGCTTGAAGCCACCGGGTTCTTCTCCTGGGCTCTGTGCTCCCGTTGGGCAAAATATAAAATTTTAGACTTGGATTTTTAAGCTTGTTAGTTGTACAAAAGGGCACACTGCAGCTCCTGGGCATTGTGGAAGCCGGTTTGTTTTCCCCCTCAGCGCGAACCGGATGTGACGTTTTGTGGGCGTTCCCTCGCTTGCCGACTGTATCTATGACGAAATGTATATTTAGTTTTCGTTTGATTGATTGATTGATTGATTGAAAAGTTTATTAACAGCTTGTATATTGGGTACAGTACAGTACAGCTCAAAACATACAATTGTTAAGGGGATGCAGACCAGAGAAAGACTTTCGTCTTGTTTACATCAGGGTCCCCCATTTCCAATTCATCATGTCATTTAAGACATATAAGACATAATTTGACATACAGATGGCTTATTTACAATTTACATACAGGTGGTTTTTTTACATACAGATTGCTTGTTTACAATTTTCATTTTAGATTTCGTTCTAATACATCATAACCGGACATTAAGGACATACCAAGTCTACAAATATACAGTTAGTAACAGAGTCTAAAATGGCGAGTATATACATAGATGGGGGGGGGGGGGGGGAAGCTGTCCATTGAACGACAGGTTGAGATTTGTCGTTGATGAGACGAGACGGACTAAGGTGTTAATGGTGGACTATCGGACATTCAAAATGCAGCATATTTCCCCCAAGTGTCTGTCAAAATGCATTTTACGTTTCTAACTTGCAATATCATTATTTCCGCTCTCTTCACTCCAGAAGAGCGATCTCCCTGTGTCTCTCTGTGTGCGGGGGATCACCGGAGGGGGAGGGGGGGGGGGGGGGGGGGGGGGGGGGGAGAGCTGTGGAATGTGACTCCACACATTCCGATGGCCAATTAGTTTTAAACAAAGAGTTCCCAGCATACAGCATAGGAAACATGGGGGGGGGGCTGGTGAACGGTATGGTCCTATGGATGTGTCCTAATCAAACTATCTATATATTTTATACTTGCACTGCTTACCGTTTTCATACTTTATATATCTTAGCATATTCATACACACTGTTACTACTGTTCATACTGCTCACAGGCTGATATCTAGTGTATTCATACCCCTCCTCACTGTTTATTCATCATTCAATTCATTCTATATTTTATTCTGTAGATTGTGTACATTACTTTTCACTTTACTGCTTGTTGCACCTGGTTAGAAGCTAAACTGCATTTCGTTGTCTCAGTACCTGTAATCTGTGCAATAATAATAAAGTTGAATCTAATCTTGAGCAGGAACTAATGTAGGCTATTTACTTAGTACATATCTGACATTAACGATTAAACACATTTGTGCATTCTTTATGAATGCAAACCGAGTCAAGCCGACTCCGGAGGAAATCATATTTCGTTTATTTTTAACGAAATAAATGTGATTTAATCCACATAATTTACTGTGTTAATTGTTTACTGTAGTATTGTTTAACTTGAAGGTGCCTGATGTGAACATTTCTAGAATGTATTGTCTTAACTTTTTAAATGCCTCTGTGATGTGCTGCTACCCATTTTCCCCTCGGGGACTAATAAACGAATACTATATATTGAACGTCTATTGAATGGCCTTTGTATGTATACAGTACAGTATAGCCCAACCATTTACACCTTCCTTTTTTCCCGTCAAGAGTTTGAATTGGAGAAAGGTAATCGATGGTGCTTTTAAAGCCTATTGCATAATAACTGTGTGATTTATATTGCTTTTCAAATGCATGTGGCCACCCATTTACACTGCTCTTCCCGTCAAGAATACTGTATGAATAGAACTTAGTTAGATCACTTTACATTTCTGCGAATGAATTTTTAATCACACACGTCTCCCCGTCCCGAAAATAATAAATAAAATAAAAAGAGGAAACCATTTTCAAGTTCAGTTTTCACCGTTTTATTTAAAATAACTGACATAACAGACACCATGCTGTAGGCCTATCTGCTACGGAAACCAGGACAAGCTATTTCGGGATCTGTTTTTCTGGGGCTCCTCAGTCTCTCGTTTACCCGGCTCCTGATCTTATGCCACTGGTCAATGTTCAGATTTGGGAACCGATTGGAAACATAGGACTCAATCTTTTACTTCACATTGAGGGGAAGAGGCATTTTCCCATTGGTCCCAGTCCAGTTGGTTATTTTCGCCATTCTCCCATATGTTACAAATGGCGTTATGGCCATGAACATATTAGCAGCATAGATCTCAGGGCGATGCTGTCCCTTAAAATTATTATTATTAGTACTCTTAGTGCCAAGTTGTCTCAGACAATCTGCTTTTCCTAATGTGGGACAGTTCTGTGGAAAATGTGGGACACTGAAAAGTCTATGTTAAAAGGCCTCAGTTACCTTAATTCATGTAATAAAAAAATCTCAGGCCAGTAACCCTCAAAGCTAAATGTGCAATACCATGCTATGTTACTATTTATAATGTTATTGTTGTTACAACAGAAGATGTTTTTATTTAAATTGAAGTTAAATGCATCAATCTGGTGCACTGAGGGCAAAATTAAGAGATTTGTGGATACAGCTCTCAACACTCATATGAAACAGAACTGTTCTTACAATGTGTGTTGGAAGGTATGTAGTGGACATTTTTATTATATCCTGATATGTTTAAACCAAATGCTTCTCATTTCCTGAGATGTGCTGTTTTCCTCTATCTACTCTACTTCAAGGCCACAGCTGCTATTTGGTTGAGACTCACACAAAGTCACACGAGAACTTCTACAGCTCAAGGCCAGGTGTCTAATAACAATATGACTGTGTGAAGACAGATTTCTGCACTTCCCACTCTTTGCTATAAGCTTTGCTTTCCTATTATATCTGCGCACACTCCTGCAGACTATCATATACTCTGTGTCTTTATTATTATTTTTATTGTATCTATGTATTTGAAGCTTCAAATAAATAACCAGAAAGACAACTCTGTCTGATTCACCATTTATTTGTTTTTGATCTCTCTGACTTGTACTCTCCAGTGTGTTGGGTCTTAGATTTCCATAACAATTGGCGTTGTCGGCAGGATCTCTGCAAGTTCGATTGGGAACACCTACGGACGCTGGTGGTGGCCGGCTCCAGGATCCTCGGATCCTCCTCTACCTCGACAGAAACCGTACGGGACGAGAGGACCAGCGCCGGGGGTGGAACCGATTGACTTCACGAGATCCAACGAACTCAAAAGGCTTTCAATACTCGGTGAGATGTACAGTGTCTAAATTGTTTAAAGTTAAACGTAATTAAACTCCATGACATTTATGAGAGGGACTGCTCTAAAGTAGGATATTTGGGATATCCAATATATCGTAGCCTGGGTTTACGATCAGTGTTTGTGTGATTTGTACTGAGAAACAATTATCACATCATCGACGGATGAAAAAATAGTGTTTTGGTAACACGGGGTGTTTTGGTAACACTTAAAGACTTTGTTTTGGGAGCAAAGCAGGTAGGGGACTTGTACACTCTCCTGAGGGTCCGATTGTGGATGTCATGCGAGCAGAAATGGTGAAAACAGTCTGTCTAAATTAAATATCTGGACGGAAATGTTCGGATTTCCAAAGGGAGAGTTTTTGAGTAAATTAAAAATCAAGAACCTAAAGAATAAATTACAAGAACATGAAGATGGAATGAAGAGTAAAAAATAAAGTTAAAATAAAAGACTTATAGAAAACTGTACACTCACAGAAAGTGTTTATAATACTGGGGAGTAAAAAAAAAAAGGCAGTTGGCCTTGGGGCATTAAAGAAAAATATTAAGGTTGAAGATGAATGTGAAGAAAAGAAGGAAAATAAATTATTTCCAAAACCATGTAAACCCCAGACATCTCTGTGTCCTTCCATTGCAGGCCTGAATGACCTCTCCTCGACTGGGTATCCTTTCCCTCCCCCGGGGTACAACCCTGGCAATCCGGCTGGCCCACCTCAACCACCTCCACCGCCACTACAAGTCCCAGCCATGCAGTCAACAGACTCACCGTAAGCTCGTCCACCCCCATCAGCCCCAAGTAGATGGGGACAACAGCGGGATAAACAAACCCAAGCCCAAGCAGGTGTTTGGGCAACACACCTCAGTAATGCATTTCTCAACGGACTCACAGACACACAGCGCAAGCTACGCAGAATGCTGGCCGGTCACAATACCGAGGGAGAGGCAGAAGAGGTTTTCCGAGGCAGAAGACGAGAAGCAAGACCTTCATTTGATGAAAGATGTTTCAAGTGTGGCAGTGTTGAACATTGGATTATGGGACTGCTCACAGAACACTGGCAGTGGAGGCAGAGGGGGACAGCAAGGACGGGGCCATCATTCACAATCAGACTGACCTACACCAGATGGGGAGGAAGGGGCCCGATCGAGCGAGACGGAAATTCAGCCAGCAGCATCTAACCAGGGAAGTGACACACACACACACACACATCATGCTATTGAGTAATTGGAAAATGTAGAAGACATGTCTGTGGTTAAAGAGGGTATATATATTTGAAATATGACAGTGAAACAGCATTTGAGAAATGTCCCACACTGACTTTGGCTGTCATGGGTGTTGATGTTCCATTTGTTTGGTTGATTCTGGGGTTACACATTCTGTGGTAAAAAGGGCAGATTTGCCTGATTGCAAATTTAGTGGTAGATTTATGCACTCAATAGGAGCGGCTGGGGTGACTGTAAAGGAGAAGTTTTTGTATCACTTCACAGTAGAGATAATGGTGATGATAGTCATCCATTTCCCACATCAGTAAAAAACAGTTTTCTTTTATCATCTGTCTGCCCAATACATTTTCTGGGCAGAGATCTGATTCTCCGGTTCGGCTTAGACCTCATTTTTCCACAAATGAGGGTCTTAAAAGTCCGACAGCCATCTCCTACGATTGTTCAAAAAACTGGCATTTGATGATAAAGAACTGGTGAATGTGTATCAAATGGCTGCTGACATATCCTGATTCTCAGGCGTTGTTGCGTTTGACTGATCAACGTGTTTTTCCACCTGCTGTGTTCATGGAGGCTTCTCATTTGCATTGTACTGCTAACGTTGTTGATGATCCGTACGATGAGAGTTTTCTGTTAGAATGTGTGAATGATGAGCTCATGCTTAAAACTATGTATTGGAGTTTGCTGCGCA